GGAAAAAAAAAGAAAAAAAAAAAAAAAAAAAAACCGGGCAAAAAAAAAAAAAAAAAAAAATGAAGATCTACAGTTCCAACGTAGCCTTAAGGTTGGCTCTAGCCAAGTGTTTCTATAATTGTTAAGTGTAATTTATGTCCATATAATGCTCTCAAAATACACATGCTCCACTATAAAGAGCGCAGAAGTGTAGCATTGCACTTAAAGAGCTGTCAAGTAAAGAGCTCTCATGACAGGACAGATAAGTGGGGGTATCGGAATCCTTGTCCAAATAATTTCAAAAAATATTTTTTCTGAATTATTAGATATTTGTTCCATTTCTGGAAAAAAAAAAAATATTGACGTTACTAAAAGTACAGATTGTATGTTTTTATTTCACATTTTGCTGCGAGAAAGGGTTGAGGCAGACTCAAACACTTTCCATCAACTCGAGAGTACCCAATTGAGAAGTTCATAGAAATGACACTTAGGATTTTCCAGGACCCAAACGCACGTAAACCCTTCGTCCGTCCGTCCGTCCGTCCGTCCCCCTCCCCCAGTGTAAACATTTTAACAGTGCAGAGCGTCCATGTGCAGCCAGGAGAAGCTCTAGAAATCTGAGTCGCTCCATCTCATTAATAGTTGATGCCCTCCATCCAGAATTGGAGATGCCTGAATAATCCTCTCCTGGGTTTTTTATCATTCAAATGTATTCCACCCAATAATACACCTGTTCAGTCTCCTGGATTCACTTTGTCTCCACCTTCCCTCTTGGAGCTGGATGAAGATAGGGCAAACTTTTTAAGGCCAACTTTAATGCGAAAAAAAAAATGTTGCAACTCTTCCTCCACATCCTTAAAACCTGCTTAAAAACCCTTAAAGAGAAATAGATCCTGTACAAGTGGAAAAACCCATCTCATAAACCACTGTAAGTAGGGTGTGCGCTCCTCTTCCTTTTACCAAACATACCAACCCCCGCTCTCAGCAGCTCCCCGCTGCGTCCGCCTTGCCATCCTCTTCTGCCCAGGTGAGCGCTGTTCAAGCTGCAGCAACAGTGGAATTACACAAGCAAGACGAAGAAAGCGGACAATTATCTTCAATATCTGTCAGACACATGACAGCAAAAGACCCCCCCTCCCCTCCTCCCTTTGCTTTCTCAGCCATCATCACACCACACACTCTCTCTCTCTCTCACACACACACACACACACGAGCCAAAGAAAGTACAAAGAATGGGGGAGTGTTGCTCCTTTGATTGTTCAGAGGCAAAGAAATTGTCTTTTTCTCCTACTCCCCACACCCCTTTCTCGGTGCCTTTTTCTGCTCATTACCATCCGCATTTGCATGCACGCCACCAAAGAGCAAGGAAATGTGAGGATGGAAATAAAATAAAAGGATTAGAACAATGGTAATCACGACTGCTATGTGCACATTTAAGGGGCGCGTGTGCGTGTTTGCGCTTGCACGTGTATATACAAGTGACAAAAAGTGAACAGAAGGATTCAATATGAATACATCTCAGACTGTATTATAAAGAGCAGCCAAGAGAAAAAGATTAGTAAGAAAAGATCCACATTAGGTCGCACCTTCTGCTTTTTCTTTCTTTTTTTTTTGTCTAAACTGCTGTAATGCAGACTATTTTTAGCTATTGCAGAAATTAATCCTGTGTTAGCTCCTTAGTTTAACTCTGAAAACAAAAACTAAATGAAAACAAAACCATGTTTAAACAAAGGTCTAAAACTGTGGTACAAGTGCTCCTGATATGGGAGACCTTAAGTGTTGCTTTCCTGCTTAGAAAATTGACTATGAAGAACTTATATTACTTCCAACTAAGAATATTGACTTAGTAAAACCTGAAGGCATACTTAAAACAAATCCTACGATAACATTGTCACTGCTAATTGTTTATAATTGTTTCTCCTATTTTTTTTATCTTACTTAAAAAGCTAAAGAAACTTATTTTTAAAAAATAGACAGTACACATAAATACACCAGGCAAGGAAAATCAGTTGGTTTTGTGTCAAATGCCATAGCCTGAAAAAGAACTCAGAGCGCCACCTGCCATGCTGCCAAATGTGGCATAAACGTGCTAGCCCTACGGCTAATAAAACCTTCCAATGTGAGACGTGTTCTGCTAGTTTCAGGACTAGAAGAGGTCTCTCGATGAACGCCAAAAGACATGGGAGCGCTGGCAGGAAGCGGAGGGCTGGGGAACCTGGTGATGGTTTTGCCGGTGACTTTGAGGGCCTTTTCACCCCCCTCTCGCTACCCAAAAACAAGCGGGTAAAGCAGCCAGGTAGAACTCTAAAGAGTTGCATGGAGTCAATGATTAGAAATGAAGATGTCCCTCCCGGGGGCCTTCACCCTCTCAGGTCCTCCCCGGCCAAAGTCAACAAGACCCTGTCACTATACGTAAGGCAAATGAAGCGTTCTAACAAAATACCCATACCGAAGCCCTGGAAACCCCGTAGACTCTGAGCACTTAAAAGAAACATAAGGGGCAGCTTTCAGACCATCCAGAGCCTGTACAAAGATAATGCGGCGGCCACTGCATCTCTAATCTTGGATGGTAAAGAAGCTAGGTCATGTAACATCCCCAAACGAACTGTCGAAAAAGCGTACAGTGAGTTATGGGAAAAGGAGGACAAGTACATTGAGCTGGGTGTGTTTGGTGCCCTGCCGGAGGCGGACAACGAACCTCTGCTGATGCCGATCACCCCTAGCGAAGTGATGGCGGCACTCAGAGGATCCAGAGGCAAGAGCGTGCCTGGTCTGGACGGAATAAGGAAGCCCCACCTACTGAGATGGGACAGGATGGGCAGCTGCTGGCCTGCTTATTCAACGCCATCCTGTACAATGGCAAACTCCCGAAGCTCCTTAAGAGGAGCAGAACAACGTCGGTGCCGAAGAGCTCAGACCAGGAAAAGCTGAAGAGCATAGACTGCTGGAGGCCCATCACTCTCAGCTCCACCATCCTGAGACTCTTCTCGAAAATCTTGTGTGACAGACTGGGTGAAGCATGTCCCACCCACCCGTCACAGAAGGGTTTTATAAGGGGCGAAGGCTGCAGTACGAACCTGCTGATGCTGGACGGCGTAATACGGAGAGCGGTACGTCAGAAAGAGACCCTCGCAGTGGTCTTCATCGATCTGGCACGGGCGTTCGACTCCATCTCACACAAGCACATCCAGGAAGTGCTTGTGCTGAGGGAAGTCAATGCTGGCATCTGTGATCTGGTCAGAGACGCCTACAAACACACCAGCTCCAGTATAATAACCAACGAGGGGCGAACCCAGACAATCGAACTGAGGGTCGGTGTGAAGCAAGGTGACCCGCTGTCTCCCTTGTTGTTCAACCTCTGCCTGGACCCACTCCTCGCATTCCTTGACCAAAGGGGCTCTGGGTACAACCTCTCCAGCCAGACAATAACTGCTCTCGCCTATGCTGACGACCTGGTCCTACTCAGCGGTTCCTGGACTGGAATGGCGAGGAACCTGAAAATATTGGAGAAATTCCTGGAGAGCACTGGACTTGACGTCAAAATCAAGAAGTGTGGCGGCTTCTTCTTGAGGGCCTCCAAACAGAGTGTGACCGTCAACGAGTGTGCAGACTGGAGGATCAACGCTGCTCCCATCCCCATGATCAGTGAGGCCCAATCCTACAAGTACTTGGGAGTAGAAGTGAGTCCGAGAAAGGGGATCTTGCCCTCTGACTTACTGAAGGAAATTACACCTAGATCGGCAGAGCCCCCCTCAAACCCACCCAGAAGATTAAAATGCTCGTCACCTACGGCATACCAAGAGTGATGTATGCTGCGGATGTGAGCCTGGTCAGTATGGTGGATCTGAAGAAAGCAGACTTGGAAATCAGGAACAAGGTGAAATCCTGGCTTCACCTTAGTCCATTAACTGCGGATGGCCTCTTTTACAGTGCCAGGGTGGATGGTGGACTGGGGCTGCCCAGGTTGGAAAAACAGAACCCAATCTGCCAAGTGAAGAGGTGGTGTAAAATGATGCAATCGAAAGATGTCAAATGCAGAACTCTAGCCCCCTCGCTGCTCCCTAAGACTGAGATTGCCAGAAGGTGGAAAACAGCCACTGATGAAGAGGGGGAGGGGAGTCTGCAAGAAAGGCTTACACTTACCAACCCAGCCATGGTTGGGAAGAAGTGGAGGGAATTGGAATATAGGCGATGGTGCGATCTCAAATGCCAGGGTCGTGGTCTCACCACATTCGCGAGGGACCCCATAAGCAACAACTGGCTGGGAGATCACAAAGGCTTGCAGGAATCTGATTACATCGTGGCTCTCCAACTTCGCTCCAGTACAGTCGGCACCCTGACCACCCTTAATAGAGGGAGGCACAGGAATACAACCTGCAGGGCCTGTGGCAAAGGGTGGGAGGGCACCCTTATTATAGAATATATATATTATGTTATATTATAAAATATATATAACATATGTTTATATTATAGAACATATATAGAACATATTTTTGGTTTTATTTCGGAGTAAATGTAAAAAGGAATCAGTATAAAAACACTACCTTTATAAAGTTAAAAGTCTCTAATGTCCCATAGAATGGGGTATATGCCTCGAAAGGTGGTGATGTATTTCCGTTTGAATTTATGCCACATAGATTGGTTCCGGGTCCTGCTGGCTCCTATTGTTTTCAGCCAAAGCTGCAGGATCTGTACCATGAAAAAGACACAAAACTTAAAACATCTGTGAGCTACTGGTACAACAACTGAGTTTTGTGGTGTGCCGTTGTGTCCAGTAATTAGCCGGTACCATCCAGTGCTTAGTTTTTTCATTTTCCTGCTGATATCAAGGCGACAGCGGACTGTAGCCAAAACTTAGCCACTACAGCTAACACGCAGTTTGTAGCTGCCTGCTATTTCAAAGCTTGACGATATTGAAGATCCAGTGTCAGAAATGGGAAGACGGAAGTTAAAAGGAAGCTGTACGAGCTTCGTTCACTGGAATAATGTGTTGGAGGAAAATAATGCCAGACGAAATCCATTGCTACGGGAACAGGCTGAGAACAGAGGCAGCGATTCGACACAAGGTAAGTCAGTACGTTTGTGTTGATGTGCGTTTGTATTATACGGAGTATGAAATTATTTTTAGGCAACTCCTTAGCTTTTGTTTATATGACAATTATACAAAATACATCTAACATGCAGTCGGAGCGACGAGCCCCTCCGATACCGAGGACGGTAACTTAAGAACAGCCGAGAGCAGCAACGCTTCAGCCGGATCCAAACCACACAAGTAGTCAGATTAAGGTCCAAAACCTTCGCCTTACAGCCGTTTAAGTGGCACCGATCCACATGAAAAACCCAAAGAACAAATGGTACAAATCACGTATTTCCAGAATCCCGAAAATATGACATCTACCTTTGCCGTTTCATAATTATAATCCACGTTAGAGTGAATTTTTCCACTTGGCTGCTTTAATCTGTTACGTAATTTCTCCTTTTTTCCTCTGAGATTCTGCTTAGAAAATGAGGTTATGAAGTTACATCCTCCCGCTGCTTTTTGTTTTTAAAATAATATATTTAGGTTTGCCTCGATTTTATAAACTAATGTCTCTATGCATCATTTTTTGTCTTACTGTTGGTGCAGATATTAGGTGAACACTGTGCTTTGCCTGCCAGTAGTTTAAATTAATTTCAGCTGCACACTTTCAAGGGTATTCAGATTTTAACATGCATTTCTAAGTAGTATTTCAGTTCACTCTTACTCAGTGACTTCAATGTTGTTACACCTCTGAAACATTTTTTGTAGTTTCTTTGTGATACCAGAACTATTTCACTTAAACATTTAATTTCCTGAGATAGTCAATTTATTTTCAAGCAAACTCTCAAAAAGAGCTGATGATTTATTAGTTTTGATTATGTTGGGCAGCTAAATATGGAAGCTTATTAGTTTTTTTTTTCTTTTTAATTTTTCAGGTTTGCATCGTAACACCTCGTGATGCGTTTCTGAGCCATGATCGCTGTGCTGATTACCTTTCCATTGGATCCAAGCACCTGGACCAGCTGACGGTGTCCATCAGTCCACTGACTGCCGGATCATCACAACGTGGACTAACTTTTTATTTACTTGGTTAAACTATGATCTGGAAACCGGAGCACCAGATATGCAAAAATCTACCTGCAGACTTTGTTGGCAGACAAAGTCTGCATGTAGACACTGCAGACTTTGACACTGCAGTCATCTTGGACGGGGCTGAGCCGGGCTTCCTCTCCTCCAGAGTGATGAGTTTTCATTACCAGTAAAGGCAAACAAGTCTGATGTCTGATTAGCTGCTAGGAAGTATATTATATATTCACTGTTCATTTTGCTATCCTGTTTGTACCTACAATAAAATTGAATCTCATTTGTAATACTCTACATTTCACAAACCTTTTCTTCCCTTTTCTCTGTGTTTACATTTTATCAAGTATTTGCATGTAGATCAGGAATTCAAGTGAGATAGTAAAATGCAACACATTTAGGTAATACCAGCAAAGAAATGTGAATATTAAGTAATATGTAGTTAGTCATATAATTTAATATACTGAGTAAGGCTGGATGATATGACTTACAAGGTTTTTTTTCATACCTGATTTGATTTTAATCTATTCCTCCTGCCCTCAATTTCTATAATAAAATCACAATATTTTCAAAAAGTGCCTTTATTTCAACCATCTGTTCTGTGGGTTGTATAAGGGAGCATTACGGTCAGGACACAAGAAATTTTAATTGCAAGAATGCCGTCATCGTTACAGCAGAATAAAGGTGCAATTTTATAAAAATGTCTTAAAATTACAAGAAGTTGTTTAATGAGAAATAAAGATTCAGATTGATCTGATGTAACCAGCTCAGTCCATGTGGTTCTGACATTTGTCAGTAACCAAGAGGATGCAGATTTCCACCTCAACTGACCAGATAAGGATTAAGGTAAAAATAAAAAATAGAGCAAACACTGTATACAAAATGGAAAAAGAACAACTGATAGAAATACTTTCTATATAAAGTAAAAAAAAAAAAAGTTAATAGCAGGAGAAAAGTTGATGGCAACATTAGCTTGGCCTATTCATCCCTCCAGGAAGCCATCCAACAGAACTCCTGTCCAACTCCAACTATAATAAAGATTAAAAAAGAGAAAAAAAGGAAAGTTAAAATAACAAATAATACCAATTTAACAATTCAGATCTAATGTGTTCTGGAATCTATTATTGACATTTTACAAATTTCACAAATCAATTAGAAGGTTTCACAAATGTTTTATTTATTCTGCTGTTAGTACAGAATAATCTACTTAGGTTTGAAATGTCTAGGTGTTGTTTTTAAAGTACAACACATTAAAAAAGCTCAAGATAGTGCACTTTAGCTATTTTCCGAATTAGGTGCTACATTCAGAAGCTAACGTCAGCTTCGACTGATAGCTGGGGCACAATATAGACATCTATATATGTTTATATAGATATATATCTATATCTATCTATAAAGCATAGATATGTAGATTGCACACTGCACAGATAATCAAAACACAACGTTTACATAGCACCTTTTTAAGCTTGTCCCTGTTAGCTACGTCAGACATATGAGGCATTATGGTGAATACAAACAATTTATTAACTTACCTTCGAAGTTATTGTGAAGTTTTGACACATCCAGCTTAAATCCTTTGTTGTTGTTGGAGCGTTTCAGGACGTCTGAATAATTATATAAGGCTCAATGACGTATAAGGATTTCCACCAGGCTAAAATAAAAATTTTTTAAATATGTATACCCATTGCAATTACTAGAACATTTGAAATGTTGAGCACATATAAATCATAATTTCACGTTAAAATTATGCCTTTTCAGAGGTTTTTTATCAATATGATTTGGCTGTGGTCTTAAAAATGTCATGTGGTGCGACCGTGATTTATCTTAAAATAAGATATATTCCATGATGTATTAAACATTTGGTTTATAAGTTTTCATTTATTTAATGAGTTTAGAAATAAAGTTTTTAAATTTCTTTACTTTTTTCTGGAAATTATTACATTTTCTCCCCCCAAAAAACTGTAAAATTCCATTTATAATTGACTTGACCACTATTTTTCTTCACCATTTCATCAAACTGTGAGATATATATATATATACCATTCACTTGAGAATACTGTCTTAGTGATTCATATTTCTGCTCCAGAAACTAGATATTTTTTCAATTTAATAGAGTTGCTTCGTTAAGTGGTCACACCACATGATGTATGGTCGCACCAAATGACTCATATAATAAATGTAGACCAATAAACAGGTCAAAATCTTTTTATTGCATAAAAATATAACATCCAGTAACAGTTACAAAAACAAGTTTTTTTGTGTTCTTTTGTGTCTAAATTAAACACACCAATTTAATTTACATAAAAATACAGGCAGTAATCAACAACTTTGTAACATTTCAAACATTGCAAACATGCTTCTTTCAAATCAAAAAGATTTCAATGAACTTCAGACTATCATGTTACTGCTGGAGACTTTAAAGTCTATTTGAACAAAGAGAAATGCTTATTTTCAAGCATTTGTAAACCTTTCCCGGTCTTGGATGTTCAACCTGGAACTCTGTGATGTTGCTGGCTCAGGTTCTGAAATGACAGCGTGTACATCTTTCTTGTAGTAAAAGATTACATCTGGACTTCGTGGCCAGGTGAACATGTTCTTGCCATCAGACTGCTGCATGGTGCTCACTTGGACCTCTTCTCCTACATCTTGAAGTACCTGGCCCACATATGGTACCTCATCATAGCTCACAATCACAAACTTGCCACTTAAGTCTTGAAGACTGGCTTGTTCCTTTGATGGTTCAGGACTGCTTGGTGCAGGTTCAATGAAACACAGTTTCTCTCAGGTTGACTTTTACTGGCTGGTAACAGAGGCATGTTTTCATTACTGCATGCTTGCAGAAGCATGACACTTCTCTGTGACTGATCTGGGCTGCGCATGAAGACAAAACCTGGTGTATCTTCGAGGTTCCTTTCACAGCAGTTAAATTTTCTGGGATCAGCTCATCATACTTCTGTATGCTTTCATCATTAATCCAGTGGTAAGTAATATTTGACCCAGATTTTTTGGCTAGCATCCCATACAAGTCCAGGGGTGTCTGCAGCTCACCACCACGTCTAACGTAGAGATCAGCATCCCTCTTTACAGCACCACCAATGCCATCTGGGGCACCCTTTCCACGACACTTTTCTGAGTAGTTCCATGTCACGTGCTTGAACACAGTCAGGACAGGCACAGTACTAAGGAGGTAAAAGTTTGATTTGTTTCTATACTGTGTAACAGGTCCATCACTGATAATATGAAGAACTGTAATTTGTGGACTGGTTTCGCGAAGCTCTTTCAGTATGGGCTCCAAATGTGCCAACACTGCTCGCTCATCATGATGGAGGCTGTTTGACACTGTAGCATAAGATCTGGTGCTGTGGGCTTTGTAGAGGACAGCGGTGTGAATTGTGGCCCGTTTTCGGCTGCCTCCAAAATGATAAGACTGTATTTCTGTGCTCATCTTGCATGAGTAATTTTCAGAAAAGTCAATATGTAGAACAGCTTCTGATTCAGTCAAATTTTGCTTTAGGTCACGGAACTGCTCCGTTTGGTGGACCCAGTTAAACTGATGAATGGCAAGTGCTTCAAGCTTTTTCTGAAATAGTTCTTTTAAGTCCTGAATTGTTCCTGTATAGTTTAAAAAAAAAACAAAAAAAACATTTGCAAAGGTTTTCTCACCAGTTGTTGACGTAACCCTCTCCCACTGTTCCCAAGAAATCTCAATGCAGTCTGTGTCAGGGAATTCAATTTCATCAAAGCAGCACTTTACACATACACGATCCATGCATGCTTTGCTTTTGGGGTCACATACGATTCAATTCAATTAATTTAATTGATTTAATTCAATTCAACTCTATAACAGTCACAAAATCTCACCAAAATTACTCTCACTCTTAAATCTTTCAGAAAATCGCAAAAATGCATTGAATTGTGTCGTTTGCTGATTATCACAATATATATCATATTGTGAGCAGAATATCGTGTATCGTATCGTGAAATTATTGTATCACTGCAGCCCTACTATTGTCGAGGATTGATGAATCCATCCAATTGCCCAACCTTACATTCCAAACAATAAGCAGAGATGAAAAAAAAAAGTTAGTTGTGGGTTTGTTTCCATGGCTCAGTGTTGGTCAAATAATTTACAGATGTATGTTTTGTTAGGGTTAAGGATTACATGTCATTTTAATGTTTATGTGTAGTTAATTGTTAGTGTAGTTATAAAGTGTTCATTACCGAAACATTCTTATTCATTACCGACATACGTTTTTTCATTACCGCTATGCTCATTTTATGATAATTTATTTAGATTAAATAAAATAATTACATGAACTTTTTAATTCCTCAATGAAATGGTCAGACTCTTTATATTATGGTTGTGTTGTTTTTTCAATTTAATGATTTAACACAAAATTGATTTTAAAAATTGAATTCATGTTACAGTAATGAAATAATTGTTTACATTAAAATAATACATTTTGTTATTAATGACTATTCTTTGTTGGTACCTTCTCCTTTGTGGACACTGAAGTCCATGGTGTCCAAAAAAGTAGAAAAATGTTTTTGTGCTTTCATATTTCTTCATCAAAATTGTGTTACGGTAATGAATTTATTTCCTCAAAGTTAGACTAAAATGTCTAAAAATTCCTTAAAAATATGCATAGAGGTTATAATTTTACATTGAACAATAAAATTAGATTCTATTTTATAAAGAAGGTGTGTTTTTGTGTGTATACAATGCATTTTTATTTTTGCTATAAGTTGTGACATGTTCGTGAGAATCACCCCATTGTATTTTCATGATATTGTTCAAAATGATTAAAACTGTACAAAAACCTATTCTGGAAATATTAAAAAAATAAAAGCACAAAAACTACCCTACAAGAGCATAAAAGTGTCATTACAAACACAATACAATGGTCGCACCACTACTCGGTCGCACCAAATGATATTTTCATGTTCAGTCAACATTAACAAGCAAATAATTAGTCTCCTTAAAAAAACAAGCTAGCTTCCAACACAAGGCTAATATAAAATTAATAATTAAAATTGTAGGAATATTTACTTATTAATTGTATTTTTGAGGTTACGCTACATGATATCCAAATATGGACACTACATACCTACTGCTAAAACTGATACTTTTTTTCAAATTTGATAAAAAGTAACAAACCTCTTTGCTGGCTCAGGGGTTCTTGGCAGAATGTTGGCTGATGCAACTTCCTGTTTGTGGCTGGAATTCAAAATATAAGTCCAAAAATTGGAATTTCTTGACGGTCGCACCACGACATTTTGCTAAATGGAGATTTTCG